TATATATATAAGATTGCACCAAAAATAAAATAAAATAAAGGTTTTGAATAATCATTTAGGGGTAGGCAAAATTTTCGAATTTTTCAGATACCACCAATTTTATTTGAGTTTGTAAATTGAGATATTTCTTTTCTTTTTCTTCTTCTTAAACGTCAATATCATTAATTCATCGATGTATCAGGGACGTTATGCAACTGTGCCATGATTTATTATATGGATTATCTGGATTATAGTACGTGTTCTTAACTTTCTTTTTTCAAATTGGCATTCATATATTCGCTACTGTATGTAAAGTTTTGTTAACATGTAAATTAGTGAAGGGTGAAACAAGAAAATATGGCTGCCTTGAGTTTTCGTTAGTTAATTTAATTAACCAAGTAAGTCAAACCAAGTTACTTGTTCTTTTGACTACTCGAGGTGAGAAAAAATTTGAATCAAATAGAATCGGGTAAAACATTTTTATGGAAGTTATTTGTATGAATGAGCCTCTCTTAACTAATATCTTATCACTAATAAAAAAAATAATTTTTGTTGCCAGTTAATAAAGACCCGCATCATGAAATACAAGGACTTCATGTAAAAATGTATCAACACTTAATATTTACACAAAATCAATATATGTATATCATGTGTCCTTAATTTATATACATATTTTTACCAAATAAACAATAATTATTTTTTAATATATATTCAAAATAATAAATTAATTTGATGTAAACACTATTCCTACTAAATTTCCCTTCTCAGTGCATTTCCTCGCCTTCCCGTGGCTATAGCGTTATAATTTTGCAGTCTCAACAACCTCTAAATCACGTCTCGTCACAAGAGGTATTAGCCGATCAACGAGACATCTCTACCTTAAATCAGTGTTTTAAAAGGCGTGGGCGTAAGGCAAGGTGTTTTACATATGCCTCAGCGAGACGTAAGTCCCGAGGCACGGGGCGTAAGCCCCATGAGTATTTAATTTTTAATATTTTATAAAGTAATATAATTACAATAAATATTTATAAACATGTAAAATTACATAAAAATTAAAGAAAATTATAGATATGTGATTTTATATATATATATATATATATATATATATAGATATAGAGAGAGAGAGAGAGATGCTCCATCCCCATAAAGATAGTCAAAACAATATATTATACGCTACTTACAAGCACAAATAACTTGAGTCGAAAAGAATAAAGTTTTTTACATGGAGGAACAAAGATGATGACTAACATGCAATTTGAACTTTGAACTTGCTGCTATAAAGGGAAATGGAGTTCTCTTTGCATTTGTAAAAAAAAAATATTTATTGCTTTTGGGAGATATTAGCAGACTAGCAGACAAGATAAAGAATTGAGAAATACCATAAATTAGGGCTTCAATCAATTAAAAAGGTCATGACTTTTAAATTTAATACATTTAAGTTCCTTTTTTAAACTTTTGAGTAATTACAAGCTAACTTTTGAGAATTTGGGTATTATATGAAGGACTTATTCAACAAATTTTGTTATAATTTGAAAATGTCTATGGGGCTTACGGCTCACTACAAAAACGCGCCTCAAACGCCGGGCGTACGCCTCTTGAGGCTTTCGCCCCCACACCATCGCCTCAGGGCATTTTTGGTGCGCCTCGCCCCAGGAATCGCCCCAAAAACACCTTTTAAAACACTGCCTCAAATTGATAAGTTATAATTATAATCACATTAGAGTGGATAAGAAGTTACACAAATCCAACTCTGAGTTACCTCTATTTCTTGTATAACCAACGGATAATTCATGTATAATATACGTATAACTACATATAATTTATGTATATCGACAAAAATAAATAAATAATGAATCCGGCCAGTTATTTGTATAAAGATCCCTAAAATAAATCACTAAGAAACCCAGGTTAAATTTGCATGTTGCTGAAAAAATACATCTAGATACTTTACACAAAGCAAAAATCAGTATTAGCTTGCGACAAGAACTATTTACATCTGATAACCGTAAAAATATATAAAATATAATTCTTTTTTATATATAATAAATAAATATATTTTTCCGCTATTATTTTGAAAGCGAGCTATATGATATCATTTTTTCCTTTTTTTTTTTCAGCAAAGATCCAATAGTAAGGTCCGACCCGATTTCATAAAATGGAAACCTTCTGTCTGCCCCGTTAAAATTCAGGGTTTATCACTTAAACCCTAAACTACACCTCTGCAATTTCACTACTTTCTCCTTCTCTTCAAAAAAGAAAAAAATGGCGGCCTCAGATACAATTGAGAACATGTACGACGTCGCATTGAAGCCTCGGCTACTTCGGTCCTTTCTCAAAGAGTACGTCCCTGACCTAAAGCATCCGTTTCGGAACCCTTCAGTTCTCTCCTACGTCGTTTCTACCATTAAGATTCAGCGCTTACTCTCCGAATTGGCTCCACCGGAATCTGATCAAAAGTTGATTGAAAACTGGACGTCCGCTGTCGATTCATGGATCAACCGAGTGCTCGCTCTTGCCTCCAGCGACACGGTGAATAATCTTAAAAAACTGTTATACTATATGAATTGTCCCTAACTACATTCATTTGTTGCTTCTATGTTTGTAATTATAGTTTGAAAATTTAATAATGATGAATCGATAATAAGAAAGCATGGAGTTTAAGAAAGAACAGAATTTTAAGAAAGAAAGAAAAAGACTTTTGAAATGTGTGGTCTAAAACAAGCTACTCGTGTGACCTAGTGGTAAATGAAGTTGGTTGAGAACCACGAGTGTCAGGTTCAAATCTCAGTGGAGGCAAAATTTTCTTATCTTTCCAAGCCTTAGTGGACCCTAATTACCTGGAGACTTGTTATTGATGGAAGGTATGCAGGTATTCCGTGGAATTAGTCGAAGTTCCCGCAAGCTGGCCCGGACAAACGGTTATAAAAAAAAAAAGTAAATTGTGCTACATAAATTGGTCCAGAGGGAGTAATGTTTTGACCACTTTTGCAGCAGGGTCTGTTCCTTTTGTCAGCTGAATCTATTGACAGGATAATGAAAACCTTATTCTGGTTTTGACATGGTTCCTATAAACTGATAAAGCATATTTTTTTTCTTGAGCTGATAACATGGTTCCTATAAAGCATATTGCAGTTTATGAACTTCGTTATGTTGGATTTTATGTGTTGTGTATTAGGATTAAGAGTTGTTTTTTTGGTGATTGTTTGTGTTGCAGCCAGATAAATGCTGGGCTGGTGTATGTTTGCTCGGGGTGACGTGTCAAGAATGCAGTAGGGAGCGTTTCTTAGCTTCTTATGCTGCATGGTTTAACACACTCTTACTCCACCTTCAGGTATTCAAGCTAATGGTTTATTGATAAGAATTCTTTGTGTGATCTTCATCTGTTTGGTGAGTTATGTAAAAAGGATTCACATTCCTGTTTTAGTTAAAAGTTCAAACATTTGCCACTCATTATGGTTGCCAAATATTTTTTCTCATAGTTCGTGTTAGATGACGGAGTTTATTAAATATTTGACTGAGAGCGAAAGAGCTATTTTTGGCAAACTTAAGGAAAAAACTGCTCAGGTGTATAGTTCAGGGACCATTTTGAACCTACCTCCAAACATAAGAAACCATTTTTGTCATTTTCTCGAAAGAGTACCTTTAGATGTTATTATATCTGTAGGGAGTAGAACTATGTTCTGGAATGCAGGAAAAAGGGTGTATAAGTTGTGTTGTTATCATTATCAACTATACCTCAAGATGACCTATTTCAAACAAAGCAAAAAAAAAAAGAAAGAAAACTATACCTCAAGATGACTGATCATGTAGATAAATTGACATCATCGGACTAAAAAGTAGAGTAACTGGGACTTCAAACCTCTGAAAGTTCTAATCATTTATTTGACTCAGCCTGATAAATTGGTGCCTTGGTATTGAGCAGGTCAATCCTATATGTTCTATTCATTAATCAGTGAAGATTAGCAAACAGTAGATTGACTACAGCTAACCTGTTATAATCTTTGCCAATTTCTTTATATGAATGTGAAAAATTAATGGACATTCCTTTCTTTTTTGTTTGGTGGGTACTTGGACTAGTCCCCTGCAGATTCCCACTTTGTGAAGGTAGCTTCTTGTGCATCCCTGTCAGATTTATTCACAAGGTTTGTTTGGTATTTTTGATGTTGAATTTTTGTTTTGTACTCAATGAGTCTATGTTTAACGGAGAGGGCTATTGGTTGCTCATAACTTGGAAAAACTGTTTTGATGTATGTTAATGGAAACCTCTTGCTTATGCTTACACCGTTGATGGTTTATGAAATCATTGTTTTCTGTGCAACATAAGGAGGTTTTGTGTAACTTAGGTTTGCACATTAAATTTCCTTTCTGATCTTAATGGTTTCAGGAAGTAAACTACTCATCATATGGATTTTTTCCAGTATGATACGGCATTTATGTGGAGTTAGTAGCTTGCCCACCTTCCCAGTGATATGGCTATGGGGTTTAAACCCTGAAAGTAGCTGCTGCAGCGAGTGAAATATTAAGATTTGGTGCATAATGTAATTGAAGGAGCACCTTAATTAATAAAGTTGGAGCTCGTGTAACTAATTTAAGAATGCTGCAAGACTGAGCAGACATAGACATTTCCGGTTTTTTAGATGTTCATATCTCAGGATTAGCTATTTCACTTTGTAAATGTTCAGGCTGGGAAAAGTGGAAAGTGTTTACTTCCGTTTGTGCAAACTAAGGAACAGAACTAACACAGACTGGTCAACATTTTTGCAACTTACTTGGCAAGCTTTTTAATTGTTTTAAATCTGTAGCAAGTTCAATGTTTCTCCCTTGGGGCATTTTTGCAACTTACTTGGCAAGCTTTTTAATTGTTTTAAATCTGTAGCAAGTTCAATGTTTCTCCCTTGGGGCATTTTTGCAACTTACTTTGGCAAGATTTTCAATAATTTTAAATTTGTAGCAAGTTCAATGTTTCTCCCTTGGAGCATTTTGCCCTTTAATGTAAATTCTGTTGGATAGCATTAGTCTGGCAACATTTATGCAGAGGCCTGTAAGAAGGGTCTAGGCTGGCCTTGCGACTTTTGATGATTTGTCTGATAAAAAAGAAATGTGCCTTGGCCTTTCTGAATATCAGGTTGAGAGGATTGCCCAATGCAAAGAAAGATGGTATATCACTCGGTACAAAACTTATTCAACCATTATTGAAGCTGCTAAATGAGGATACATTTGATGCTGTATGGGTTAGTAAAACTAGCTGAGCAGTTCGTTAGTTGAAATATTCAGTTAATTTTGCATACTGCGTAGGAAGTGGTTGCTTGCCTTTGTTTTAGAGTTTTGACATCTCTTGCAACCTGTGCAGGAAGAAGCTATTTTTCTGTTGTGCACCATTTTAGATATCTTCCCATCTTCCATTCAACGGCATTATGATGGTGTAAGTTCTTTGTTGATTTCATGATTTTTTCTTTTTTCTTTTTACTTTGCGTAACATTAAAACTACTCTAAGGATTGCTCATTCGGATCCAAGTTCATAATGAATCAATGTCTAGTTTGTTCATCAAGATCAAGATAGAAATGGAAGCATGAGATACACTAATTAAGGTTATTACGAAACTGTTTCCTGTGATATTATTTTTTTTCTTCTTATTGATGACATTGGTTCTTGGGCTCGCATTCATTTGCCGTTATTCTAAGGTTTAGATTGTTGTTTCTCTTTCTAACTTTTGTTCTTTGGAGAATCCTAATCATGATATTGTGTGTATTTCAATATAGATGCATTTGTTGAAGTGGTAATTTTGGCAGGTTGAGGATACTGTTGTTTTGAGGCTCATGTCAGGCAAGTGCAGTCCTAGTATGTTGAAGGTGAGACAAAAACCAGACGGTTTATTTGAATTCTAGCTGGAATATGATATAGCCAAAGCAGAGGACTCATCTAGTTTTAGTTTTCAGAAGCTTGCTTGTTGCTTGGGTTTGCTACCAATATCAAGGGGGGACGAGGATAGCTGGTTATTGATGATGCAGAAGATCATGCTATCAATCAATATTCAGCTGAATGCTGCCTTCCAGGGTCTAGAGCAAGGTGATTCTTGAATATTGATCGACTATCCTAACTAATCATGGCAGGAGCTCTAACTGAGATTCATCTTTATAAATATATTTGTAGAAACTAGAAGTACTGAGGCCATGAGATTGCTGCTTCCCCCTGGGAAAGACCCACCGCCTCCATTAGGAGGCCAATCTTTGTATAGTCAAACTTCAGACAAAATGATGAGGCCTGAGCACTTGCAAATCTCCAGAATCTCTACCCTGATCTTTTGTTGTTGTAAATTGCTTACTACTTCTTACCCATTTCAGGTCAGAATCTGTGGTCACATACAACTTCTAATTTAATGAGAGTTCATGATCAATTTTTTTTCCGTAGGAGTGGTGCAAGTTATAGAAGTATTTGAGGCAATATCTTGATTTTTTTTCTCTCTTACTAGGTGTCTATGCCTGTACGTCCATTAATAGCTCTTGCTCAAAGAGTGCTGATGGTTGATGGTTCCTCATCACCAGGCATCTCCTACATGACTACAATGAAACAAGAATTTATTTGTTCAGAACTCCCAGTCTTACATTCACGCATATTGGATCTTCTTACATCGATTGTTAAGGGACTGGGCAGGTGAGCTTTTCCATATTTGTTCTTCTATCTTGTTTCAGTTGGATAACCTTTATTCGTTTCGCTATCTTTGTCCCAAAGAGTGATGATTCTCTTGCGTAGGATAAAATACCATCTCGGGTATGCACGATCCAACTGGATCATTATTAACGTGTCTGTTCATGTTTTAGTTGTAGTCCTGTGCCTTTAATAATTTGGCTAATCTGACTTGTAGAAAGATCAATTTTCCCACGGTCATCTTAAAGTAAGGGAGTGAATAACAAGCCTGATCATGGGGAATCAGTTACATTCACCCGTTGGCCATCTTGGGAAAGGAGAGGAGAAAAGTCCTTTTTTCTTAATTTTAAAAAAAGTCTTTATTAGTCACTCTTCTTTGTTTTCTTAAATATCACCATTTCTCTGGTTGTTTGCTAAGTATGTGTTTGTTGTATCCTTGCTTCACCTAATTTTGACCATACCTTTGGTTTTTGAACGCCAACCTGCTCTGTTGCTATTTTCTATTGTTTGATAAGTTCAACCTGTTCTATCATTATTTGGCCTTTTAAAATTGTCTATGTTTTCCCTTTTTGTTTTTTCCTTGATTTCAGTCAGTAAATGTATTGTTCTGTTAGAATTTAAATATTATGGTCGAGAACTAGTACATACTTGGATAAAATGTTAGTAAACCTTATAACACATGTTGGGCGTTTACCCCATGCATGGATCTGTAAGACCAATTCAAAAGAAAAGTCTAGTACATGTTTTTTCAAAATTTACTTGATTATTGAATTTTATTATGATTCCCGTTTCCATATTGGATAATTTATTAGAGGGATACTAACACTAAAGTTGGGCCACTTTTCTCTCTTTTGCAGCCAGTTGCTCCCTCATGTTGCCTCTATAATACGACTCCTAACCAACTACTTCGAGACGTCTGCTTTGCCAGAGCTAAGGATAAAGGTGTACGCAATTATGAAAGTTCTGCTGATGTCACTGGGGGTTGGTAGGCATTTTAAATATTTGACAAGTTTGTACTTCTTTCTTTTGGCCTCTGTTTATGCAAATAAACATCTGCCTAACCTAGAGGCTGGGTTGTCCTTGTGCATGTCCCTAAATGCTAATAAGCTTTACATAATTTAGCTGAGACAGTAAATAAATCTTCTCGGAACAATGAGATAATTTTCTTCGGCGCACTGCATGCAGTCAGTCCTGAAATCATTATTCCTCATTAGGTAGTGGCTTCTCCCTAATTCAAGGAATCAGTCCATGTTCTGTGCTCTAAATGCAGAGTTTCTTTAGTGTTATTCAATACCTCTTGTAGCTATAATTACTGGGTGGTAAATATTCCATATATGTATCACTAATATATTATATATATGTTGTAAGCCTTATGCTTGCTAGAAGTACCTCCAGTAGGGAGTTTCCAAATGATAGACAAAGTAAATATCCTGGGCTTTTTTGTTTAGAAGAAAAGTTATCCTTTAGTATGAAAGCTTTAGTCAAGCTCAAGCAGGGAAGTACTTCGTCTTTTGTTAAGCTTACTGGCAGGTGATCAGTGTTCATATTAGATTCTTATGTTCCATTTCCCTGCATGTATGTCAGTTAAATCTAGTGCTCCGAGCTGGCTGTGCATTCAGCGGAGTGGTGATTCTGATAGTGGTTGTGATTTTGATTACAAGTCTGTCGCTGACTGCAGCAACTTTAATTTGGCAGGGATATCTACACACCTAACCGATGTGATTGTTAACAATGCATTGATGGATTTGGATGAGAGAGACATATCTCCCATTGCACAACAGAAGTTACATCCAGAGACAATGAAAAAAACTTCCCACAAGAAGAGGAAGCATGCTAGTACAAGTAATTCGCTTGAGGAGCAGCCTGATAGAGATGTTTTTGAAATGGAAATGTCCCCAAACATGGCTTCATTATCTGTTAAGATAGCTGCACTAGAGGCATTGGAAGCCCTTCTTTCCGTGGTATGCTTAATTTTGCTCTCACTATGGACTTCTTACAAAATGTGGTTTTTAAGAAAAGAATTGTGATTTAATTTTTTAAGTTTTTGTAAAGAGTTGCAAGCTGTTTTGTAATAGCATGAGTACTAAAGTTAGAAGATAAGGCTGATTCTTTGTTGAATTTGAACTTTTAAAGTTATAAAAGCAGTGTCTCAATTTGGTAATATCATATAAGAAAAAGTATTGAAAAGTGTAAAGAAGTAGTTTCATGTTAGAGATTGACACCATCTTTGGACAAATCAAAATAGAAAGTAGGGCTCAAAAAGGGAATGACTCGACATTTCTAATGCCTGGTAATCAATACTTCCATGAAGATTCTTCAACAGTTATTAGAGGGAATATAAGCATACCCTCATTATACTTGTTAAAGCTTGGCTCTCTACCTAAAAGTAGGGCTCAAAAAGGGAATGACTCGACATTTCTAATGCCTGGTAATCAATACTTCAATGAAGATTCTTCAACAGTTATTAGAGGGAATATAAGCATACCCTCATTATACTTGTTAAAGCTTGGCTCTCTACCTGCATACACAGACAAAAGAATTTCTAATGCTTGCCCTTCATTATACTTGTTAAAGCTTGGCTCTCTACCTGCATTCTTGCCTGGGTGCTTTCAAAGTTTAAATTTTAATGTGAATCAGATATGTGGTTAGAGAAAAATATTTTCCAGCTATTAGCTTGTGAAAGTGGCTCTTCCTTTTTCTCGAGAAGAGATTTTAGCCTAGGTTTGTCTTATTTTTGGGATGACAGTTTATGTTTATTCTGAATGAGCTGATTTTTCCTAGAGTGAGCTGCACCCTGGAAGTGTTCATTGTACATCAGAAAATCGTTTATGCACTCTCTTAAGCATCTGCAAAATCAGGAGATGGTACATGAGAGCTTCAATTCCTTAGTTCTCAGTTAAAAGCATCCATTCAGTTCTCACTTGAAAGCATCTATTTCTTATCACTTTATACCTATATCTAATCCATTTTTTATTAATGATTATCTTACTTGATTTTACTGCTGCAATAAGGTTTATTTGTCTCTTGATTTTAATGTCTATTGATATTCATCTGATATCCGAGGTAGGTAGTAGTACGTAACATTCGTTCACCAATGTGAGTCTGCTTGAGTCTCTCATTATATTTCTCATATGCTATGAAATTGTTTTCCTTTTAAATTGGTACTCGTCGCCCGCTTGTCAATACTTAATCCATATAATAATTATAATTGCATTTAACATAAATCATATTCTAGGATAATAGTGAGTGCATGAAGATTGCATACTGGGTTATATGTTGCTATGGTGCCTAAATTACAAGTATACACACGCATGCACACCCATCTATTCTATATTACCCGCTTTTTCTCATTTGTATCTATCTCCAGAAGTTGTTCTTGATGGCAAGTATCTTATGTTTGTCATTTTAAGGGTGGTTCTTGGAGACCCGAGAGTTGGCGAGCAAATGTTGATCACCTTCTTTTGGATGTTACCAGAAATGCTTGTAAAGGAGGGTGGGCCAAGGATGACAGAGGCGAACTGGTTCCTGGCTCACCGACCACTACCTGGGGAGACTATCAAATTGCAGCTTTACGAGCACTTCTGGCTTCTCTCATCTCTCCTGGCCGCACTCGTCCACAACACCTATCTCAGGGGCTTGAACTTTTTCGCAGAGGTAGGATTGCGATTTTGTTGAGGTGACTGTACATATATTTTTTTAGGAACAGCTGAAACCTTCTATGCTATTCCAGGCATATCTAAAACAACTCCCTTAGACAATACACAATATAGCAACTATTGCGCATGAAATCTATTAACCAAGCTGCCGTGTGCCTGACACAGTCCTTGTCAGTCTTCTTCTGTCTCGTTTGCTAAATGTACTAAAAACATACTCTGATCAAGTAGAAGTTAATATTCTTGAGATTGAAAGTTAAACTAGTAGATGTATGGGCATGGTAAGAGAGGAAAACGATGTGTTGAAATTTTGATCTCATAATGATTTGTAAGTTGCATAGCTATGGGGACTGGAATTTTTAACAATGGTTTGGCCTAGCAGTTGCTCTCAAAATGATTGAGGTGGTGGCTTGAGAGTGGGTGGTGCTTTCTATTTTAGATACTGCTATCCTACTGACGCATTTGAAGAACATTTACTTCTAAGGATGATCTTGCTGTTCTCACCTCGTAGTTCCCTTATCTAGTTTGGCATCCTTCCAATTTTTTGCAAGCTGTTTCAATGAATTACCTGTCGTTAATTTGTTGTTAGCAGGGGCTCAAGAAATAGGAACTAAAGTTTCTGAATGTTGTGTACACGCTCTTTTGGCGTTGGAAGTGCTTATACATCCCCGGGCGCTTCCCTTGTTAGATCCCCAGTCCACTGACAACAATTATAAGGTCAGAAATAAGTGGTTTTCGGGGAATTTACACATCAGTGACCGTGCAGCAAATAACACATTCCACATTGGCATGTTCAGCAAGTCCCCTGACGAGCCAGACTCTTATAATGATGACCTTTATGAAAATTGGCTGCGAAATGGCGAAGATTCGGATACCGTGGCAGCTGATCCTGGAAAAGATACGGATAAAAGTAATCAACCCCCAGAAACATTGAAAGATACACTATCAGGAAAGGTTCCATCTTTGGATACCACTGCTATAAAAGTTTCTGAAAGTAGTAAATTGGTGGAAGTAGCGCCTGTTACTGTTGCGAAGAAAGGCCCCATGGATAGGGATGAGGTCATGGTTGAATCACAGCTATCTGAAACTATTGCTTCAATTGGTGATGGGAAAAACAGTCTTCAATCCAGTGCCCTTGTTTCTGGTGGCAACACTTTAAATCCCATGGGTAGTGAAGTTCAAGCAGAGAAACTAGTCTTGGGCGCTAAGAGTGATGTGGTATCTCTAGGATCGGAAAAGTTCATGGACAATGCATCAAGAAAGGAAGCGGCGGAAGATAGCGTTGATGGATTTGCTTCAATGATGAATTTAGACAGAGGTAAAGGGTTGATGCACGAATCGGATAACGAGTCCATGGAGTCAATTCCTGATATTGTTGATGTTGAGCCTGATTCTGATTAAATAGAGAACGGCCTACACAATGGTGCATGTTTACTGATTATGTCTGGTATTGGGTGGAAAGATGTATTTGCATTAGAAAATCACCAGTCCCCTCGCTTTTTCTCTAAGAGGGAGATTAGGGACGAGTTGATGGCTTTTTCTCTAAGAGGGAGATTACGGACGTGTTGATGTATCTAGAGGTTACCACCCTCTCATGATCGCAGTTTGGAGTTGGGATGGGTTATTTTTCCAGTTTATATATGTTATCCTTGCGTAGAGGCTGTATCATTTTAATTTTTATATAGGAGTGATTTAGCTCACTTGTGGTCGAACGTTAAAATTGTAACTAGACCACATTTTCGAGATTTTTGAATTAGGTGAAGCACATTGGATTGCTAGGTGCGCAAGAGTTACTCATTTAAACTGTGTTTCTGTAAGCTGTACCATCCTAATATTGAGGATCAAGATGAATCCCAATACAGTCCTTGACAAGGATATGCCAATTTTGAAAGAGAGGATAGTGTTTTTAATGTGTTTTCTTCAATGTGTAGTCTAGCTTTATTACTTCACTATTATATGCCTTGTTCTTCTTCTATTTAACCTCCCAAGAATCATGCATGTGTTAGCAATATGATCACCATTCACAAGGTTAATCACCCTATAAATTATTCTTTCCTCAATTTTATTAGGTTAAAATAAGCAAAATTTCTTACTTTATTATTTTCTTCGTTCCGATGTATATATCCATAGTATTCAGGGTTGTTTCAAAATATTTAATACAATTTTACAACCCAAAAAAAATCGTTTTATACAACTTTCAATAAAAACTTTTAACTGCCCAAATTTTACGTTGATGTAAAGTTTTTTCCCCCCCTAACATATTAACTTTTTGACCAAATGCTTTTAATATTTTCTTACATTGCAACTAGAATAATACGTAAGCTCCGATTCTTTTTTCCTATGAACGCACTCCTTCCTTTATAATGCTTGGGGCATTCATCTAATGCCCCTTTTAAAATTATTATCATAAGCTTCGTGGCTATTCACTGTAGAATAGACGGAGTAGTATTTATTTATATGTCACACTTATTATTATAAATTTTAGGGAACAACTACGTCAAGAAGTAAACTTCAAAGCAGAAGTCGAATCTTTAAAACACGAAAGGTTGTGATAGGATGAATAGAATCATTTCAATCTTAATTAGAGATTTCGAGTTCAAGGTATGTGAACGCAAATGAACCTTACACTGCATGAAATCAAATTGAAAAAATGATCCTCTATAGCCCCTCAAAATTTTAATAACCCATGTTTTCCCCCATTGACCCTAAATGTCCCTCCGGCCCAAACATATTATATCTAATAGCTCGAAATGTCTATTTTATATATTTTTTATATAGTGAGTCTATTTTGTATATATTGTATATAGTGACAGTCTATTTAGTATATTTTTTGTATAGTGACAGTTATTGTATATAAATTGCATAGTGACAGTCTATTTTGTATATTTTTGTATAGTGACAGTCTATTTTGTATATATTTTGTATAGTGACAGTCTATTTAATATATTTTTTTGTATAGTGACAGTCTATTTTGTATAGTGACAATCTATTTAGTATATTTCTTTTGTATAATGACAATTTATTTTGTATAGTGATAGTCCATTGTATATAAATTGTATAGTGACAGTCTATTTAACATATATTTCAACGTTATGCATAGTTATCTGAAAAAGAACAATCATAAAACTTCGACAATTCAAAAAGATAATTCCAATTAGAACAAATTAATTCAAATTTATCATTAAGGAGAACTCTAGTTATATAGCAATTACTTTACCTCTAACATAGTCACGAGATGGCAACTCGAGCATCCCTTCACACCAACGTCATGGGACTAAAAGAAAGAGGGCGAACTGAAGACAAAATTTTCTCAAACTTGTTAACTAATTTAGAGATGGCAGCAGCGTGATTGCAATACATGCTCAGTCCTAACCCGAAAAGACTTCAATACACCCTGCCCCGCCATGTATAGCATTTTTTCCTTCTGTGTAACCATATATTGACTAAAAATAAAGTCTATTAAGTGCATGTAATATCGATCTTACTACAAGAAATATCAAATTGAGAAAGTAAAGACTGATATTTATGATGGGTTATGATAATTGTTTGGATCGTGGAGCCGAGCGTAGCAAAGAGACAGAATGAAAAAGATAAGGTGGGTTAGCGAATGTTTGTTGTAGCCAATATAATAAATTTTTTGTTATAACTTGCAATCAAATATAATGGGCTAGCGGTTGTCTTAAGTTAGTACTGAATGGCCAATTATGTCAGAACCTCATTCAACTAATTGGCCGTTAATGCAAGTACAGGACAACGTATAAAAAAATAAAAAAGGAAAAAGGAAAAAAAGGAACTTGTAAAGCAGTCAACTCTGGCCTACTCATAAATCGTACCGCTAATACATTCATAGGCCGATAAAGTCAGTTAAGAAAGTGATCATTTCTTATTTTCAACAAAGTACTGAACTGCCTTCGAATTTATGTGGTAGAGCCCCATTCAATTGAAAAAAAAGAAAAAGAGCAAAAAGCACATCGAATTTGACTACACAAGTGTGACTTTGACGAACGTAACATATGAGAAATGAGAAAGTTGGTGAAGAATGGCTGCACAGATTCATTTGGCCATCCAAGAAAGTGCACTCCAAGTGAATTTTAATTTCTAAAATACAGATTTTTTTAACATCCAACTACCTTTTATTCTTTATTTTGTTTGGTCCTACCGGGGCCAACTTCTATATTATCTCATGCACAATTTAATAACAATTAAAATATACATTTTTATTAAGTACAAAGTTAACAAACCAATGCATGTGTTGCAACCAGAGGCGGACCTACGTTGTAGGTTGAGGGGTCACGGGACCCCGTTAGCCTCAACAAAAATACTGTATATATATGTTATATATATCTATCCATATTTACGGGACCCGTTAAATATTTAAGATGTGCCTCCAAACACAAGAAGGTGGATGGAGAAGTGGTTGTGTTGGGCATTTAATTTTGCTTCTTGTCTAGATGACGTGGGTTCGAAACCCCTTTCAGCCTTTTCTCCTTGTTGTCTTAGTTCTTGGAATACAACTTACAGTTAACATACCCATTTTTTTATTAAAATACTAGAAATTTAAAGCGTGAAACATGCTTAATCAAATACCTTTCTTCTCCATAGCATGAATCTCTCTTTGTTCAGTGTTTTCTGTTTCTTTAGAACTTTTATTTATTTATACTTGAATGATAAGTCATCATAACATTAAGTTTTCAAAGAGTTGCACGCCAAATTTAATTTATCGCTAGTGATTAGCATATAGTAGTGCACCCGTTCTGCTCAAATTCTGGGTCCGCCTCTGGTTGCAATAACAATAATAACGACCCAGTGAAATTTCAATAGTGGAGTCTGGGGAGGGTAGTGTGTACGCAGACCTTACCCCTACCCCGAGGAAGTAGAGAGTCTGTTTCCGAAAGACTATCGGCTCAAGAAGACGAAAAGAGACAATATCAGTATCACCAATAGAAACCATTGAAAAAATAGTATTATGGAAATGAGAAAGTAGATACAAAGCAAACACGATACATAATACATAGACCTGTCACTATGGAAAACAAATTAAAGGAGTAGTAAGACATAACATTGCCACTAGCTAACATCGACAAAAATCCTACCAAACTAGCCTCACAAAAGGTATGAAGTAAGGAAGACTCAACTACCTCCTAACCTACAACCCTAATACTCGACCTCCACAACTTATTATCAAGAGTCATGTTCTCGAAAATTTGAAGCCTCGCCATATCCTGTCTGATCACCTCTCCCCAATACTTCTTAGGCCGTCCTCTACCTCTTCTCGTGCCCTCCAAAGCCAGCCGCTCACACCTCCTTACAAGAGCATCTGGGCTTCTCTTTTGTATGTGTTCGAACCATCTGAGCCTCGCTTCCCGTATCTTGTCATCAATGAGAGCCACGCCCACCTTATCCCGAATATCTTCATTCCTAATCTTATCTACCCTAGTGTGTCCGCACATCCACCTCAACACCCTCATTTCTGCTACTTTCATCTTCTGTATATGTGAGTTCTTAACAGGCCAACACTCAACCCCATACATCATGGCCGGTCTAACCACCGCTTTGTAAAACTTACCTTTGAGTATCAGTGGCACCCTCTTATTACACAAAACTTCAGATGCTAACCTCCACTTCATCCACCATACCCCAATACAGTATGTGACATCCTCGTCAATAACAAAGTTTGAAAAAAAACATTAGATTCCCTCATTTGTGCAATACTGGTATCCAAAGTTCTTTGTGCATCAATGGAGGATACACGTTTTAGTAAGGATATCATTTGACATTACTTGGCAAAAAAAGAGAAAAATTCTTATATACGTGTGTATAAATAATTTTTTGTTCAAAAATAATGTGTGTGTATATATATATATATATATATATATATATATATATATATTTATATTATATAGAATTTAAATATTATGATTGACTTTTTAAGTTTTCAACATTGAACTTTTAAAAGTAGGAGTTAGTAAAATGTTTGCCAGAAGTTTAATAAATTTTTATATATATACCTATACTTCATATCAAAAATATTGAACTCAAATGAATTGTCGTCGAAGAACTATGTCTACGTACCCCTATATACACACACAATAGGGTAACACTGTTTGAAAAGTATAAAAATGAATACTTATTCATTTATATCCAGGGGCGGATCCACCCTTTAGGGTGGGGTGGTATGACACCCACTAGGTTGGTAAAATTATCATATATTTATGTAATTTTTTTTAAACTAGGTTAAATTTTGATCCTGCCACCCCCAGTCGCAAACTAGACAAATGTGTCATGGCTAATACATCTTTTTAAAAGCTTTTCTCGTATGTAAAATTCAAGTTCGAATTTTCTTGAACCTTGTCTGATTTTTCCTTTTGTGTTGTGCTTTTTATTTCCTTTGTCCAAGTCATTTTTCTTTTTGGCTACCTCCCAATTTTCTATTTGTCGTCTATTATTTTTTATATTTTTTCCTCTATTCTATTATTTTATCTGTGATCTAGTAAAAACTCTAAATTAAAAAAGAGCCTCCAAAATTTAAAAATTTCATAAAATAAGTATTTTTCTTAATCTCAAATCTTTTAGTTTTTTTCTTTCAAAATCGAAAAACTTGGATCTTGATGGAAATTTTGGTTTGGGATCAAATTAATTTTTACAATATCTTTTTTTATTATAACATTGAAAATTTGTGCTTTTCTATGGTTGTTAAATACAATTTGAATCTCTTTGCTATTAAATTGTGATGAATATTTTGCAAGCATTGCCTGCAAAAATATGAGATTTATGATTTAAATTTTTGGGATCTTGTAACTTATCTATTCTACATTTACTTATTCTTATGGGTGGAATTTTCTTATTGAAGATATTATTTTACTTGTGCAAATTTATTTTTAGTATACAAAAAAAGATTGTAATTTTCTAGTAAAAAT